TGGGTCTGTTCGGGCTGCAGGCGCTGCGTAGCTGGGGGAAACGGCTTCTGCTGTTCTGGGAAGTGCTTGACTTTTACTGGTTTTGTTGTCAGGAAACAACCTCTATGGTGAAGAGCTCAGGCAGGTTCTGGAGAAGATCAGAGACAGCCCTGAGAGAACCTCCTACATCTTGATGGATAAGATCAAACCACAGCCAGCAATGAATTACTTGCTGAGGGCTCACAGTCCCCTACGAGTGTCCGAGTGCATCTCAGAGCTCGGTATTTTTGGCGTCTATGTCAGGTGAGAAATGTGCTTGCGTTACGGGGTGGTTACCTGCCCCAGCCGGCACTTGGGTTGGGAGCGTTTTCCCCCCTGCGCTGCCAGGGCAGGTGTCCCTGGGGAGGTGGGGGTACAGGGGACAGAGGTGACCGTTCAGCCTCTGCCTGTCAGCAGCTCTCTCGGCACCGTGTTCATGTGCTGAGCTGCTGCTCTCTACCTGCTGCCAAACGAGCTGTTGGGAAAAAAACCCAGAGCTGGTGGTTACTGGTGTAACAACCACGTGGAACTGGCGCGTCTCATCCCCGATTTCTGGGAGCACTTCTCGGGTTCTGGATGCAGCCACGTGCTTTTCTGAAGCCCTGGCAATCTCGGAAATATCTGAAGGCTTAATGCGGTCATGTTCAACCCTAAATAGCTGCTGCTTTTGTTTAAAACCCTCGTAGGCCCATAGAAATGTTTCCATAGCTTATAAATTAAAGTCCTTCTCGTACAATTTTAGAAACAAATGTACCCTGGCAGCGTTCGGAACCTGACACTGCCTGTGTGCAGAGCAATCCGACCAGAATGGCCCAGCTGAGAAAGGGCACTGTCGCTGGCAGGCACAAAACGGGCGCAGCTCTGTTGTCTGCGGAGACCTCGGCGTTAGCCCTGGGGCTTTTGTGTGCCCGTTACCTGCCCTGCGCTGTGGCAGGGAACGTGAATCAGGTTGTCCAAGGTGAAATGCCATAAAGCTTCCTGCTCTGCAGGTGCTCAGTTGCCCTTTTCTTTGCAGACAGGGCACGGAGATGGTGATGAACACGGCTGCCGGCCACCTCCTGCGGACGAAGGCGATCGAGCACGCCGACGGCGGGGTAGCGGCCGGGGTGGCAGTGCTGGACACTCCTTACTTGGTGTGAGAAGGCGATGCCCCATCCCGCCCACCTCACTCTGCTGCCCGAAGAGCTGAGCTGCCACAGCCACGTTCGCCTTAGGGTGTGCTTACCGAGGTCTGATGCGTTGGGGACGGTGCGGAGGGACACAGCTGCTCCGACGGCCGGCGTGCCAGCCCCAGCCTCTCCTCTGCAATTCCTCCTGCAGGACGAAGGGCTGCCCTTGCTCTGCCTGCTCAGGCGGCCCTGCCCCACGCGCATCCCAGCTGCCACCTCCCAGGCCAGCGTTGCTCTGCGTGTCCCTGCGGGGCCAAGCCTGCAAGCAGGGGCACGCACAGCAAAGCTGAAGGGTGAATGTGCCGCAACAGGCACCGATGCTGTCCACAGTTTTGTGCTCCTTGATGCTGCATTATTTCTGGAGACATTTAACCCAAAGCCCAGGAAAGTGGGAGGAGAAAGGTGGATGTGCAAGTAACAGCCTTCAGCTGTGGGAGTTATGGCCCAGTGCCTCAGTCCTTTCCAGGTTAAAGAGGGGAGTGCAGCTCCATGTGCCGATGGCCCCCTCCTGCAGGTGCTGCTGCTGCCCTCATTTCTACTTTTCCCTGTGCCTGAGGATCCTCAGGGTTGCTGCACAAGCAACAGCTGCCCTGGCCCAACTCCTGCTTTGTTGGATGGGCCCTCATCCCAAAGAACCCTGGCCCACAGCTCCCCACACGCAAGAACCCCCAATGATGGTGGCAGAGCCCAGCGCGGTGCTCAGTTGGAGCCTCGTGCCACAGGCAGCGTGCTGATGAACCCTGCGGCCCCAAGGGCTTGTGCCACTGCATCTCCCGCTGCGTGTGCAGCCCAAGAGCCCCGACCTCGGGTACGGTCCTGCTGGGATGTGGCGCGGGCCAAGACTGGGATGGAATTGCAGGAGAGGCTGAGCGAGTGCAGCCCCAGCTGCTGCTTCACCCTGGGACCAGCACCAGCGGATGATGAGCCATGTCTTCCTTCAGGAATCAGTGGGAACCAGCGCAGCAGTGGAGGGACGTAGCGGCTCACCATTCCATGGACTTCTGCCTCTTCCTCCAGCCCCTCTTCCTCCTCAGCTGAGCAGTTCAAGGGGAACGACAAAAGCTGCACCTTTCTGGCAGTGCCCTGCTAAAACTCCCAGGCAGCCTCAGCTCTACCCTTGGTGACACCAGCAAGAGGCAGCGCCAAGCCAGCATTTCTGGACAATGACCGTGCGCATTGACAGCCCTGCACCCGGCCGGCCGCTGTGTGCGTCAATCATCAAATCTTTCAGTTTGGAAAGAGTCTGGTTCTGTAAGCGTGCCCCATTCTGTGATTCCTGGGTGGTTTATTTGGCAGGGAGGGGAGCACCCTCAGCCAGAGATTAAAACGTGTGCAATCTGAACACCGATCTTGTGCCAATTTTTTGTCTGAGATTAGTGAAGGGGAGGCATTTGCCTCCTCCCTGGCCAGGCACGGCTTCTGCGCAGCGTACACCTGCGCATGGCCCTGTCATGAACCTTCAGACCAGGGACAGCTAACACCAACCCCGCCCTGTTTCTGCTCTGTTGCTGTAAGGCTGCACAGCACCGCGCTGGAGCTGCGTCCTGGCACTGGGCTCTGCAGCGCTGGCACAGCAGCTGGAGAGCTGCTGGTGCGAGCAGTGCCAGGCAAGACAGGCTCCAGGAGAAAATGCGACCGCAGCGTGCTGGAGCAGCAAGGGCCCGAGGTTAGATGCAGCTGTGAGGAGCAGAGCCTGGCCGCAGGGCCCCTGAGCTGCTGGAGGCAGCTGCTGGCGAGGCCTGAGCCGTAGGTGACGCTGGGGACCGCGGTGTGGAGGCAGAGTCTGGCATCTGTTGCCATGCCTGGGCGAGGCAGCTGCCACCAGCCCCGAGCTTCCTTGGCTGCTCGCAGGCGGTGCTGGGCTGTCCCCAGGCGCTGAGGACAGATGGGTGTCGCACTGGCTTGTGCCTTCCGTGAGCCTCAGTGGAACAACGTTGGCTGGAGACCAGGAGAAACTGAGGCACAGGCTCTTGCCCCAGTGCAGAGCGGCAGCAGAGCCTGTAAATCCCAGTCCATGAAAAAGCAGCATGCTGGCAGTAACCTTCCCCTCCCCGTCCCCCAAAGCCTACCCTGGTCCAAGAGCAATGTCTGAGGACCCCCACCTCCCCCAGACTCACCAGCAGACAACCCATGCACATGCTCTCAGCCTCTTTCCATTTTATTTTCTTGAATTTTATTCCATTTTGCATAAAGTTCTAGCTGTTTCCAGCCAACATTACATAGCAGACAAAGAGTAACACAGGAGAGATGATGCAGGAATCCTTGTCAAGGAGGGGGCACGATGTGGCGGTACAGAGCTGTGGGGAGCACGTGGGACGCTGGCACATGCTGAGGTTGTAGATCACAGACAAGTGCAGTGCCAGTGAGAGCAGCAGGTAAGAAGTGAGACTTGGGCCTTGGACAACAGCCCACTGGAGCACCCGCAGCGCTGCCCAAGCGCCCAGCCACAGAGGCAGTTGCCTCCTCCTTTCCAGCCCAGCCAAAGGTCAGCTCAGTTTGTAGGTAAAGCCTGTACGTCAGCACTTGCCAAAACAGCTGTTGCAGCAAGTTTTAAAGCCCATTTCTCCTTTGGTTTAAGTGAAAAGGGAAAGAAAAAAAAAATATATCAAACAGTTCACATGCAATTTTCCTACAGACAAAGGAGGTATCTCTCCCAGTTCAACAACCCAGGCTGGAGTTAAACACAATTCTTTTAAAGAATGGTTTTGGCAGTTCCCTTGTGACATTCAGGCTCTTGGGCTAGAGGTTTGGCATTTTGTTTTTTTCCCCCCTCTCATCATCATAAAGCCATGTCAGATTTAAGCAAAAGCTAACTTTAAACATCTTCTACCATTTTTTTCCTGAGGAGAAGACACCATCTAGGACTAACGCAGCCCTGCCTGCCTTGGCCTCTGCTGTAGCCGTGGTGCGCAATAACCCGGCACCTGGTTTGCCAGCAACAGGAAAGGTGCCTCCGCATGGCTCTGCTTTCCCCTCCATCCTTTGGTATCAACAGCACCCGCTCGACCCCAGGGTGCAGAAGGAGCACCCAGCTGCGCAGCCTGTGAGTTCGCCTGCGAGCTGGTGGCAGCAGTGCTCTGCGGAGCATGGCAGGGCAAGACTCTTCCTCCTAGAGCACACATGGCTTCCTATCATATCCATGGCCAGTGAAGGACCCCAGATTGGGAAAAACGCACCAGCTGGCAGCACACAGTGAGGAAGTGGCAGATCTTGGTACCAAACCGCTCTAAAAAAGCTGATTAAAGCACAGAGCTCCCCTGAGCCTTGCCCCACTCGCTTTCAGGCTAGGGGACCTCTGCTAGCAACAGGCTTGGACAGCAGATGCAAAACTAAAACTCAGCCATACAGCTGTGATGTGGGCGTGGTTTTAAGTTCTGCACAGCTTGCAGCACTCCAAGTAGAAAAGGAAGCTCAGCTGGCACGTGGGCAGTGGCAGATGCACCTCCCTTGCCTGCCTGCATTGAGTAACTCCAGCACCACTTCCCTTCCAAGGCCCAAAGTTCCGTCCCACTGTGCGCAAGGTGGCAGGGCCCCCTCAATTACATGAAGTTAATTAACACCCCCCCCCAAAAAAATAAAAATAAAAATCAAAAACAAGGTGCCGGAAAGGGAGAAAGACAAGTCTCTCTGTGCACGAGGCTGAACCTCAGAAGTTCGATACCCATCCAGAACAACGCACGCACTCCACGGCATGGACACGCTGGTGAGACGCGGCCTCTCCAGAGCCAGCCTTTCCCTTATCCGTAACTTTTGTACATTCAACAGGTGAAGGTTTCCTTCCCAGTGCAGGCAGTGGTTATTCAAGGGACCTGCTCAGCAGGGACAGTTCATGCTGCTACTGTTTAGTGTCACATCTGCTGTTGAAAAGATGTTTTATGACGCCTGGGTTTGCCAAGGTGGAGATGTCACCCAGATCTTGGTCATTTTGGGCAATCTTCCTTAATATCCGTCTAGTAATCTTTCCTGTAATGACAGCCATGAAAGGAAAGCAGAAGTCAGGATCTCTTTGGCATCCTTAGCAGAAGCAGGGAGTGTCCAGACCTGCATCACCCTGCTTGCCCTGAGGTTGCTCCCCCCCGAATTTGAGCGGCCCCAGACAAGCAATTTAGGGCTGATTTCCTTCCACGGACTACTCGGCCCTCCCCAGCACTGTCACTGGGCCCCTTACCTGAGCGGGTTTTGGGCAGGCTAGGGGCATACTGGATGTAATCAGGCGTTGCTATCGGTCCGATTTTCTGTCTGACTGGAAAACAAAAAACCAAAGCACACAACACATTTCCATTGTAGGCACTAGGAGACACCACAGCCACCCTTTTCAGGCAGGATGACGGAGTTAAGACATGCGGAGCCCAGCTCCTAGGGAACCCAGCAGGGCAGCGCTCAGGGCTGCACACCCGAGCCTCTGGGCTCCAGGAGGAGGCAGCAAGACCTGCAACGCCAATGGGGCTACAAGCACGTCTTCCCGAAGGCAAGAGCACTCATTCCTTCATTCCCTCCATCTTCAAGAGACCTCTGTAATGGCTACACCAGTCACTATTATCATTTTGATAGAGTAAGGACTGATTTGCTGTTGGGTCTGGAACAGGTTGCTCAGAGAGGCAGTGGAGGCCCCATCCCCAGAACCATCCCAGGCCAGGTTGGACGGGGCTCTGAGCACCCTGCTCTGGTTAAAGCTGTCCCTGCTCGCTGCAGGGGTTGGGCTGGATGAGCTCTAAAGGTCCCTTCCAACCCAAAGCATTCTAGGATTCTACGATTCCTACAGAGAAGAAACTGCCATGAGTCCATTTCATGTATTAAATGCTGCAGTCTGTTGCGGCAATGGAAGAGGTCCCTTGAGACCAGAGCACAAACACCCAGAGCACTACCCCAAAGCAACCAAACAATCCTCACAGCAAGTCAAGATCTGCCAGGGAGAGCCACGGGAGTCGCACCCACGCAGGAGAGCACCGCTGCGAACCAAAGCCTGCCGGGTACCCCAGTCCTTCACGCAGCTGCCAGCTCCCAAGAGGTAGAGGTGGCATCACATGAACAGCCAAAGGCCGGGAGAACTAATTTTAGTCTTCACCAGCGTGCTCTCTAATCAGAGGGGGCACCTTGTCGCAGTTGTCCACACTGCATTCCCCAGACTACAACGCACCCTCGTTCAAGCACCCAAGCCTTTAACCCCTCCATCACCTGCCCAGCACTGTCCCCCCTCTCCCTGCTACGTAACCTCCCAAATATTTGGCTGTTCCTACCTTGTTTTTTCAGCTCATCCGTCAGGTTCTTGGTGAACTCGTGGCCATCTCTCAGGGTCACGAAGCAGTAGAGGCACTCGCCTTTCAGGGGGTGTGGGTGGCTGACCACCGCGGCCTCCGAGATGGCAGCATGCTGGAGCAAGGCTGACTCCACCTCTGCGGTGCTCAGCAAGTGGCCTGGAAGCGAGCAGAGGCGGTGCTTTACAGACCCGCACGGGGCTGGCATCCTGCAGCCTCCCAGCAGCTGGGAGGAAGAGGTCTGCAGGTGTAAAAGGCCCTGAACTATAGGTCTGAGAGCATCGATTTGTTTGCTTGAGAAAAGACAACAGCTGGAGAGAGAAACTCGGGGTTTCAGCAGTGCAAGGGTTGGGCTGCCCCAAAGGCTGCCAGGTATCACTCACCTGCAGAGCGAGGCCACCTCCCTTGGCTCTTCTCCCTCCCTCCTTTCCTCCCACTTCTTTCTTTAACAGATCATGAACTGTTCACAGCCATGGGATTAAACAAAGCACAGGCTGAGGACGAGCTGGATTTGGTAAGAGGAGACCTGCCCACACAGTGAGCTGGGAGGTGCAGAGGAGGAAAAGGCTGGATTTGCAGAGCCCAGGAACCGGCCCTGCCATGCACTGCTCCAGCTCATCGCCATGGGGAGATGAAACGACGCTCCACATCTCGGGGCAGGGGCACAACCCGCTCCTGTACCCGCAACTCTGGCATTCCAACCCTGGGACTGCTGTCACAGAAAGCCCCAGGAAGGTGGTCAACTCCCAGAATGATCGGCTGGTGGAGGATCAAGCACTGCTGGTGAGGTGAACAGATCTAGTTTGATCCAGGGACAAGTACAGCAGCATCTCACAGCCAGCAGTAAGTACCTGTAGGCTACAGCCTCCAGGAAAGGAGGGGGGGAGCTATTAAATGCAGTATAAGGAAAACGATGGCCTGAGAAGCAGCTGAATCTCAAAGACTCAGTCAAGAGAGGTGGGAGAATCTCCACCTCGGTAGACACAGCTCCAAGCAGCCTGATCCAGCTTCGAGGTTAGCCCTACATGGAGCAGCAGGTTGGATTAGGGACCACATGGTCCTGCCCAACCTCTGCGATCCCCTGTGGCCCTAAATCCTTCAGCACAGAGGCACCTTGGCTGGTTAAGGACCTCCTCTAATAGGTTACAGAAGGTTCCTTCCCTCCAGTGCATTGTCTCCAGGGGAAATGATGCAGAAAATCACCACGTCACAGACTCGTCTGTCTCAGAAATAACCCTGACCCAGCAACTGGATCCCACTTTGAGGAGAGGTTGCTGGGCAGAGTCACGGATGCAGAACCATCCCCAATAAAGCAAGGTGCCTTTTTTAACTAGTGTCAGAAACAGATGCAGAAGCGTCCCCCATAAAGCAAGGTGTCTCTCAACTAGTGTCAGAAAGCACATTGGTCCCCACTGAAGACAAAACTTGTTCTTACCAGAAACATTCAACATGTCATCCATTCGCCCTGTGATCCAGTAATAACCATCTTTATCTCTCCTGCAACCTAAAAATAGCCAGAAATGACAGCATGAGGAAGCAGCGCCAGCCCTTGGAGCAACCGATAAGGGATTCCAAGGCCAGGACACGGCAAGATTTAAATTGCTGTCCCCAGGCCTCTGCAGCCACGCACTCCCCAGACAACCTTACCGTCACCTGTCACATAGTACCCAGGGAACTTCTTGAAGTACGTGGTTTCAAATTGCTCGTGGTTTCCATACACTGTGCGCATTATTCCTGGCCAGGGCTGCTTAAATACCTGACGGTGAAAAATGCAGACTTGAGTCAGTGGGAGCAAACCCAATAACCCAGGCTTTGCACCACGGCGACAGAGATGCACGCAGTCTTTGCACGCGGTGATAGAAATGCTAGAGACACAGCCGTGAGCGACGACATGCAGACACTTGCTGCCCAGTGCTGATCTACTGGGAAAGTCTCGCCAGGCTTCGCATGGGGGAAGGAGCTTGGCTGAAGGGTTGTTCCCATCCTCCTTCCTTGTCCATGCGTGCAAGTGCCTTTAATGATCAGCTGGACAGTTTGTTTATAGCAAAAAGATCCCAGCGAGGTATGGCAGTGGAGTTCCTGCCACCCAAGGGGGTCCCTTGTGTGGGCCCAGAGTAAGCAGACAAGTGTGTACGCTACCAGAAAGGTCCCAGAGCTCACAGGGAACAGACAAGGGGAAGGTGGAGGAAGATCAGCCCTTCTTTACCAGGTAGCCTTCTGCTTCCCCTTCCAGCTCTTCTCCCGATTCGTTCAAGATGGCAGGGACCACACCGAAGAAGGGGAACGTCTGCCATGGGGACCAGAGAGCAAGGAGACACGGAGGTGAGCCCACACATGAAAACCCCGTGAACCAGAGGGAGTGGGAGGCACAGCAAGGGCAGCTTTGGAGAGGCTGGGGCACACAGGGCCTGTGACCACAGCTGCACAGGGCCAGGTCTGGGATTCTGGGTGGTGGCCACCTCCCCACATGCACCACCGTCCCACGACCACCCTGGCACGCTGGTAGCCACCAGGCCATGGTACAGGCAGTGCCAGCTGCTGCTGCAGTGCCTTGCCGCAGCTCCCGGGGAGGAGAACAGAAGTACTCACGGCAGAGCCTGGCTTCATGGGGGTGGCGGCAGGGAGGGGTGTCAGCATGTGGCCACCCTGCAAAGAGAGACAAAACCAAGTCAGTTTGGGCCACGCCAGCCTGTCCCACAGCTGTTTGCATCAGCTCTGGTCACACCACATCCCAGTCAGACACAGGCTGCTTGGGGCAGTTGTGGAGACAGCACCTTGGGAAGGATATGGCAGGGGACAGGGAGCCTGTTTGGGCACGAAGCTTTGGAGCTGCTTGGGGAGAGAAAGACGGGGAGGAGAGCAGGGTCCAGAGCAGACCTTGGCAGGGCCCCTTTGGAGAGGAAGATCTCCCCTTGGAGCCTGTTTGAGGTCCAGGAAAGAAAGAATGAAGGGGAACCAACACTTGCAGGCCATACTGGAGTCTCTTGGGCAAGCAAAACAACTAGCCCACAGAGCACCAAAGAAACACTATGGCAAACCTGCAAAGCCACCCTGCGGGGAGCACAAGGAAAAAGAGGTCCCAGGGACACCCAGGCGAGGACTCACTGTCTCTGTCTGCCAGAACGTGTCCACAATGGGACACCTCTCCTCTCCCACCACGCGGTAGTACCACAGCCAGGCTTCAGGGTTGATGGGCTCGCCGACACTCCCCAGCACCTTCAGAGACTTCCTGCTGTACCTGCAGAGAGGAGGGGGCTGGCAGGGGCTCAGCAGGCCATGGAGAGCAGCAGCCATGAGCCTGCTGCACAGCAGAGCCTGCAGGAACCCCTGGGCTACTCAAAGTGTACTTGGGGCTTCAAGGCATGGTTCAGACCCTTCTCAGCCCTCTTCCATGGGGGAAGAAAGGAGAACTTCTGTGATTTTGGTGTCTCCCACTCCAAGTTCCCACTTGGCTCTGCTCCTTCCCTTCCTTGCGCCAAGGAGCAGCACGCGGAGGGGCTCTCTGCCCAGCACACCTCTGTGAGCTTTGGGTCAGGAGCAGGGGGAACCTGCAATCTCTGAGCTTTGCTGCAGCTTATGATGAAAGAGAAGGACCTGCTCAGAAGGGCCATAACGAAGTTAGTGCTGGGAGTGCAGAAACATGGCCTGCATGTTGCTGTGTAGAAGGCAGAAGACCCTGGTCTGTTCAGAAAATACACTGGGGAAGCTGCTGCTCAGCGAGGAAGCTGGGGCCGCCAGTCCCCCACCAGGCTGTGCCAGAGCCAGGGATCCCCATGCCACTGGGGACTGGCACTCACTTTTTGACGGGCTCCTCTCCATGCTTCATCAGCAGCCGGATGGCTGTGGGTGCTGTGTAGAACTTGGTCACCTTGTACTTGTCAATGATGCTCCACATTCGCCCGACATCTGGGTAGGTGGGGACACCTTCAAACTGAGCAGGAGACAGGGCAGTGACACAGCCATTCCTTACTGCTACCGGCCTGCAGCACTTTCCCAAGCAGGAGGACCCGACAGCAACAGGGAACAGCATTTGGAACTTGGCATGTCCTTATAGGAATGCCAGGGGCACCATGCAGTGAAACCAGCCCAGTCCAGGGACCTCTTTTACTGCTTCCTTGGGATGGATTTGGCATCACCCCGCCCCAGGTGTCCTAGCACATGTCCCCCAAAACACCCTAGCAGCACGGGCACTTGGGCACCTACCACACTGACACAGTCCCACCAACCCAAATGACCCTGCCCACACGGTAAAGGGCAAGAGGTCCAAACACAGTGACAGAACTGCAACCAAAAGTACCAAGAACCCCAGAAAGGACTCCCCCAGTGGGACAGTGATTTTCCTGCTTGCATTTCCCCAGGGAATCTTGGGTACAGGCCTCTGGGCTCCCCGATCTGTGTACAAGTTACAGCTGTACACTGCCACAGGAGATATAGGCACAGGAGTTAATGCAAGTTGTCAAATCCACATCAGCAGTGAAAACATCACTCCCTGCTCCTGATACAGCTTTTGCATTACGCTGCAGCAGCCCTGGCTCCCCTGGTACACAAGGCTTGTACTTCTAAGGGAAAGAAACAGGGGAGCGTTTGACAAATTAACCACCCAAAAGCCACACAGAAACTAGCCCCCCCAACTGCCACCAAGCAGTCACCCATGCCCTCCTTGGGGACCACCACCCTTCCTTGCAGAGCCCAGGGCACGGCACGCAAGTGAGAAGTACGTTCATCACAGAGCGACACAGGGATGCAGCTCAGCAACACGATCTCCACTTTCTTGGAGCAAAAGCACCCAGCTGCCATCCAGCACTTACTAACACACTAGTTGCCCCGTTTGCCAAGGGTCCGTAAGTGAGGTAGGAATGGCCCGTTATCCATCCAATGTCAGCTGTGCACCAGTAGACATCCTCAGGTTGGTAATCAAACACGTATTTAAATGAGGTGGCAGCAAAAAGCATGTATCCACCCACCGTATGCAGCACACCCTACGAGGAGAAAGCACACAAGTGTCAGGGCAAGCTCCCACCAGGGCCCTCACCCTCCCAGGCCAAGCTGAGCTCAAAGAGCAGCTGAGCAGGAGTGACCAGCACAGCCCCTTTCCCAAGACCTCTGTGGCTCCTCTTCTTACTGGAGCCTCCCAACGTGGCCCTCACCAGTTCCCACAGCTGAGGTGTTACTGCAGTTCAGCCCGGCCCCATGGGTGCTGAGCTGGGAAGCATACCTTAGGTTTCCCAGTTGAGCCGCTTGTGTAGAGGATGAAGAGTTCATCCTCCGAGTCACACCACTCGGGCTCGCACTCCGTGCTGGCACCGCTTATCAGCTCGTGCCACCACATGTCTGTGGCCGGGTTCCAGGGGGTCTGAGAAAAGCAAAAGATTAGAAACAGGCCCACGCAAAAGCAAGAGGGGCGGAGACGAGGGGTGCAGCCCCAACATGGACCATGGAGGCAGATGTTCAGAGCACAGCTTCTGCCCCAGAGCTGGTTTTGTTGCAAATCATGCACCAGAGCTGCAGCTCCCACTCCAGAAGCTCCTCTTCTCAGCCCACAGCCACAAGGAAAACCTTTAAAGGCAATCTGGCTGCAAGACCTGAAGCAGATTGTCCAAACCACTGGTAACACCGACAAATCCCTCTCAGCAGCAGCAGCCAGGAGAGGGCCTGTAGCAGCAGCTGTTCTGCGCTCTCACAGCAAACAGGCTCCTCCTGCCCTCCTGGGCTGCCCTGAGTCGCAGTCGAACAGCAAAGCAGCAAGCCTCGCTTCGCACAGCCACGCACCCACCGGTCCCGCACACCTCGCGGGCACCCCTACGGCAGCATGGCCCGAGACAAACAGGAACACGTTGGGCTCAGGCTGCTGGACCCTGCAGACCCAGAAAAAATCTCTTAGCTGGATTTTAAAGGTAATTACCCTGATACAAAGTGACTGCTCCAACGCGGAACCAACCCAGCACTAGCTGCCTGAAGGAGCTGCTTGAGGATGGCAGGGCTGTAACAGAGCCACCAACGCTTGTGGCTGATGGGCAGAGGTCACCCCGAGCGCACTGCTGGTGGCTGCCTCTCCGGCGTGGCACAGTGCAGTGCAAGACCCAACTCCACCTGACCTTCTCGCCTTTCCTCAGAGGAGCTTAGGGGCAGCTGAGCGGGCAACACTCCCCAGCCTCAGCACAGACCTCCACTTCCCACATCTCTGCGAGGGCAGCGACGCTGACCCAGAGCCTTGCAGCTCCCAGCTGGGGCACACCTCCTCGCAGAGCTAGAGCCCATCGCGCGAGCACGGCCTGTGCAGAGTCCCCACAGCTCCCTCAGCTGGGGCGCGTGGAGAGCAGCCACGGGGTCACACAGCGATTCTGCAGCCCTAAAGATGTTCATGTGCCATTTGGAAGCACCGGGACCCCACGGCCCAGCACACAGCTCCTGCACATGTGGTGCAGGGGACACTAGCTGCTTGACAGGTTGGCATAACTGAACCCACTTGGAAAGCTCTCACGGATCCCCAGGGCTCCTGGCTTTACCTGGGGAAGCAGTTTCCACAAGTCTGTCCCACCAGCAAGCTCCCAGCAAGGCACCAGGTCAAACAAGGCCAAGGTAGGCTCACACCAACCCATCCAACAGTTGTTTTCTCACATCCCCCCTTCAAGGATCCCTCTGTTTTAGCACCCAACTTCCACTGCCCCATGGAGGGGGTCAGACCTACAGCACAGCACGCATCCCCTGAGGCCAGGCCTGCCTCTGCCTGCCTGCTCACGGGGTCCTGAGGCCACAGCTCCTTGGATGAGGTGGGCAGAATCCACATGTTGGGTCTGGAACTCCAAGTTTGCTGCCTGCAGCACGCCCCCGCAACCAAGAAGCTGCAGGCAATCCCTGCCAGCCTCACCGCAAAGGGAAGTGCGCTGCAAGAGCTGCTTTTAAAAGGCAGAGAGATGAACCATCATCCAAAAGCTGACAGCACATCCCAGTGGTTCTGCATTTCCTCCCGTCAGCACACTGACGTGCACTCAGGGGATTTTATGGATGCAGATTTGTTTCTGGCAGACAAATTGGTGACACCGCATTCACCCCGAAACTGTTGGGAGCTCTGGGCAAGCAGCAAGTGGTATCTAACGCTAACATGCAACTGCTGGTAACCCGGTTAGGAAGGCACGTGTGGCCGTGCAGAGCGGTTAGGATGGTGGAGCCCCAGAGGGGGAAGCAGAGGGGAGGTGCCACGAGGAAGGCAGTGCTGTGCGTAAATACCTTGGCATGGAGTCTCTGTGAGCTCTCAGTCTTTTTTTCCTGTTAAAAATCCACAAATAGGGCGTGAAAGTCAAGAAGCGGAGGATCCACACTGGCCTTTGCAGGCAGGGAGCTGGAAGCCCCACAGGCCTGGATGCTGGGAAACCGTCCTGGCAGGCTGGAGAGTGCTCGGATCTGGGGCCAGGCGATGCCCTCTGAGCAAAAGCCTGCCCATTTCCATGGCCTCTCCTGGGTACCCGCCACCTCCGTGGCAGGTCGCAGAGGCCAGCCCCTGCACGCAGCCAGCTGGGTACGGAAGCACAGAGCCGGCGTACAGCCCACAGACTGTCCGATAGCTTCACACAAGCCAACAGCGTGGTAAAAATGTGCTCACAAGGGAAAGCAATCTTTAATAAAGTGTCTGAACGAGTGGAGCAGCAACAGCCAAAGGGTAAGAGATGCCCTCCAGCCTCCTCCTGGGGCATTCTGCACAATAACCTCACCACACCAACAGCGACCAGTGCACAGGAAGGCTGGTCTGCTCCAGTTTTCCCACCCCTTTGCAGCTACCCTGCCCTCACAAGAGAAGGGGCAGAGGAGGTCAATGTAACACGGTCAGCCTGGCAAACACTGAACAACACCCCGATAAAATTAACACAGCTGAACAAGGAACATTGACTTGGAGATACAGAATCTGCTGGACTTCTTGTTCCAGGGATGTGCACAGACCACCCCTTCTGAAAGCAGGGCCCAAAGCTCCAATGTGCTCTCCAAATACAACTCATTTCTGAGGAAGCAGCAGCCTGGGGATAACCCAATGCAAATAATCACCAAACACAAAAAGACAGAAGACACTATTGCAAGACACGGAGCTATTAGGCAGTTGAAAGCAACCCGCCTTTTAAGTGGATGAAGGCAGCAGGTGAGAAGACTGCCCACCAGCCTCAGGAGCTCAGCAGGCAGCCACGGTTCCAGGACATGTTCCCCTCCTTCCACCCCCGTCTCACCACATGCCTCTGGCCCACATCCTTTCATCTGGTTTCAGTTGCGAGGGAAAGCCCCAGCCCCGACAGCTGACACAAGTTACTGTGCCAGCTACACAGAGACTGCACTATTCTCAGCGTATGACTGTTGTCATGCTCGGGGGCTGCGTTGAACCCATGCCACGAGCACAAATCTCCTGTTTTTCCTCTCCTGCTTCCATTGCCACACCTGCAGTGCAGGATGGCATTGGCCTTTGCACAAAAGGGGAGACAGAGGGGTAGGAAGGAAAGGTCCTTCACTGGGCAGAGGAAAACAGGCATCTTGTCCTAGAGGCTTTGGAAGATTGTACCCTGCTGTGCTTTCAGGTCCTGCGGGCTGGCAGATAACGATGGTGTTAAAGGAAGCAGCAGGGAGAGGATCTTGGTAAGACAAAGAAACGATTTTTCAAGACCACTCACAATGCAACAACAGCAAGGAGGGGAGAAAACAGGAACAGGAGTCAGAACAGGAGCATCTAGGGAAGCACTGCAGTGGTTTTGTACCGATTGATTTGCTGGGCTCAGGCCCATAGCAATAAAATCCCCCCTCTCATCCCCCCAGGAACATACCTGTACGTCCTGGCACAGCCTTTTGAGAGGGGGAGACTTGCTGCATGCCCCATCCGCCACTGTCTCTTCCCTCCCCAGGTGCTTCACCACGATGCACTTTTTCAAAGGGGAGCCCCTGTAAAAGGCAGGAGCTGTCAGATCAGGCTTTTCAGGCAGGGGCTAAGCCTGCCCTTTGTGGGCTCTACAGGCAGCACTGGAGGCAGAGCGGGGGCCCCGAGCTGCTTTTGTTGAGCTAGAGCGTATGCCGCCACGCAGACTCCAGGCACACATGAATTGCCAAGGGACACCAGCCACAGGAACAGAGCTCAGAGAATAGGAAAGGTCTGTGCACAGCTTACTGGCGATTTATTGAGTGCGATTCCTACAGAGGAAGCGGGGATCCCACAAGCATCTCTCACAGGTCCCTGCTGGAGAGATTCCTTACAAATCTCAAATTTGTCTGCCTGTGACCACAAACAAGACATCCTGCAGCACCCAGGAGATGTTAGGTGACTGCTCCCATCCCTACGCGTGATCAACTGTGTGATTCAGAAAAGAAATGCTTCCAAAGCCAGATTATACATCAAGAAAAAGAATGGGGGGTTGTCCTCTCACGAGGGCCAATAGAGCCTACCTATAATGCAAACAAAATGACCTTGTCACCCTTCAACCCTGTCAGAGCACCAACACATGTTCTCCGTCAGTTAATTCCCAACTTCAGGATCATTTCTGTTCTGGCATGTAGCTAATTCTATAGACATATAAACTTATCTTTTAAAGTTTTAGTTTTAAATGCTTTTAAAGAATTTGAATTTTTAACACGCAGACTACCTGCCCTAAATTTTCACATCTGATCTAACTTACAAGACCACATTCAGTTTCCTACAAGCTACACAGACACCGTGTCTATAAGCTTGGCAAAGTCATTTCACCATGATTATTTCCCTTTCTGTAAAATGTGATGATAGATCTGTATCTCTTTATGGTTTACAGTATCTCAGTGAAGATGCTTAAAAAAATAAAGTAGCTTCACCATATACTTGTGCGCAGTCAGGCCCTGATCCTGCGCACATGTTGGTGCCTGTCAACTGGAGCGCCTGTTCCTGTTTACACAGCCATTTCCCAAACTTGAATCTTATCTGGTTTATTTCATTATTGTTGATTCAGTGGCTCTGGAGCAAGACCTAAGCCTTGCCTTGACATGCCCCACGGCACCGCATCAACTGTTCGCAACTGGTATGGCAGCGCATTATTCCCTCCCACACCAAGAGCTGCTGCAGAACTGGGAGATCTGCCATGGGCTGTAACGATGGTGGGTCAGTCTGCCTCCAGCAAGTCCTCCCATCCAATACACGGGCCTTCAGGTCAGAACAGACAAGAGGAAAGTTAAAAAAGTATTTTTAAGATGAGGGAGTCGAAGCGTGGATGACTTCTGAAAGGCTCATGACCATAGTGCAGCTTGTGTCTGACCTGTTGCAGAGTCTGCCCACCTATGAACACTTCCATTTCTGTTTGTGCACGAGCAGATTCCAGCAGCAACGCCCTTCTTACAAGGGAATCCAAACTTACTTGTCTTTACATTTCTGAAGGGCTTCATCTGCAATCTGCTTCAAGTGGATCAGCTTGTCCCCTCGATAAAAGGCATCTGCAAAACAGTAAGGAAAATGTTAGAGGGGCTTCACAGCCAAGGCAGCCTGGGACAGCTGGAAGCAACAAGCAGTTTCAGGAGGGCAAAGCAGAGCTCATGCACTGGAGTGAGGGAAAAGCAAACAGGCAGCTGATGGGAAAGGTTTCCTAGTATGCCCTTTTAGCCTAGAGAAACAGAGGCCAAGAGAAATGGTGACATTCCTTCCCTGGGAGAGGTTCCAATTTGACTGGACAAGTCTCTTGGGAATATTCTGTGGGGAATAATCCAATGCGGCCGGAACACAGATTGCAAAGTTTAGTGGGTCCTTTCCATACCATGGACCTATTAATAAAAACACTATTTTTTGCACTATTGGAAAAAACAGTTGGGGAAATACAGTGGGCTTACATGCAAACACGACCCTCTCTTGATCCCTTGCTTTACAAGGCGATAGTTGCAACAGAAACTTCCTTGAAATTGGGAAGGGAGGGAATTCTCGTATTAGGACTGCCTCATAAATGATGCATCTTGCAAACATCTGGCTGATTTTGAAGAGGAACATGGATGAGAAGCGTTTGGAAACATGTTATTAGCAGCTGGTGACATCATGCTTTACAGGACAAAGTGGGCGGGCTGCTCAGATGCTTCACTGTACGTTCAAAGCGGAAAACAGTACTCAAGCACAGCTACAAGCAGTGCATCCGCCTTGCGGCAGCTCAGCTGAAGCACTGCCCCTTCCTCTTCCAAGTGCATTTGGCTTTTAAAATAAAGACCTTCCAGACAGGCAACAGTAATAGCTCAGGGGCACAGAAGCGTGTTTTACCTGCCGTGATGAGGAGAGAACAACCACAGTTGAGAATCCGCTCACAGAGAGAGTCTGCCGAGAAACCTGCAAACTGACAGAGATCACACAACCAAGTCAGCAAGGTCACACACACAAAAAAAAAAACCAACCCGAAAAACCCCAGCAGCAACTGTGCAGTTCACCCATGGTAAACGATACCACCAGGCACTGATGGCTAAAGGAGATCATTCTACAGTTAATACAGAAGAGGGCTAGGAAACAGCACCTTAATTTAGTTTCCATCTATCTCATGGTCAGCACCCACCTTTCCAGCTCCTCTCCTTCACTCTCCTGAAAACAAGAGCTGCTCCCTCCCAACAGCTCAGAACTGAAAACAATGCAAAGGGTTTCTTCCTACCACAATGGAGTGCAGAGCTCCAATCCTGGCGCAGGCGAGCATGGCTACAACCAGCTCCAGGATCATCGGCATGTAGATGGAAATTCGGTCTCCTTTTTTCACGCCTGTGGAGGGAAAATGAACGTGGCATTTGTCAACATGAACACATCACGTGTCAAAAGAACAGGATATAAAAAGAAATTAATGCTTTCAAAAATCAACATTTATATGCACACAATAAAACTTCAGCTAGAGTTAGAGCTGAACCAGCCTTGGGTTTTGCCTTTCAAGCCCTATGGCTCTTGTAAGATGACTGCAACGAACACTCCATGTTCTCAGACACAGCCCTTGGAGGCAGAAATTTAACCGGCGACCTACTGGAAAAACCCAGCGCAGGAAGTTTTGAGCACAGATTTCTTCCTTGTACGGCTGACATGACCAGCATTGATTAGCTTTCACAGACAGAGCCAGAGATGAATCTCCAGAAGTTTGCTGCAGAGCAAATCTGCATCCACCCTGCTTTACAACTGTGGAAGCAGAGAGAAGTGAAGCAGTTTGCACAGAATTACTCAACAGACTGGCAACCATGCAAAAAAATGGACCCAATCTCTGAAACCCTTCCCAGTATCCAACGCTACTATTGCCTCAGTTGCATACCTTGGCTGCGGAGGACATTGGCGAACTGACAGACTTTGTGCAACAACTCGCTGTACGTGATTTTTGCAGAATCCCCAGGTTCATTCCCTTCCCTGGAAAAGCAAGGTAATATTTGTTACAGTAGAGCATGACAAGGTAACAGTGACGCTGCAAATTCAGAGGTACTTACTGCTCTGGACAATCATGCCCTCACCCACCCTTCCGAGTACAGAGTAACTAAACACCAGAAATCCAATCCTGGACTAAAGTTCTCCAATAGTAAGAAAATTTAGTCCAAAGTCCCCTGTAGATCACTATACCTGAAAGCAACTGAATGCACGTGGAAATACATGGTACTTTCAGAGAGGCAAGAAGGGTCCGATAACCAAAGCTAAGAGTGCACACACTCAAGAGCAAGCTGGGATTTACGGCACGGTGCATGGCGCCTTGCTCACATGCACTTATGCCTGCAGATACGTCTGCATGAAAAGCTGGCCAATGCTGTCGTGCAGCAACACCCAGCACTTGAATACCTACCATCTGATGGACTGCGATGGGATGCCAAGGGCTGTCTTATTTTCCAAGGTCATATATAAATATAACCCGTGTGTAGTTGTTCAGTGCCATGCCTGCTCTGCATTATTCTCTCTCTGGTCCTCTATGAACCAGCTCCGGGCTCCTGCAGCTGAGGTGCCAGGTCAGTGGGACCTTGCCATTAGACACACCAATGGGAAGAAAAGCCAAGAGCTGCACCCAGAGGTGGAACAGGAATGTCACATCCCCAGGGGAATGGCTTGCTACCAAAGTAAAACACAGCTAGTTTTTATGTGACACAAAGCTTCAGCCATACAAACAAGGTGGCGCTCCCAACAGATCAGGGGATTAACAAAGAATTTGAAATGACTTCACACTTGGCAGAGCAGTGGTCTCCCACACCCACAAAGGAGGGAGACACCTTCCCAGGTCTCTCCAAGGCAGCCAGCACACAAACATCAGTGATCCATGAAAGACTAGGCATATCAATCTCAGCTGATGGTCCCCTCGAGTATGTGCAGCCCAATAAAAACAACACTGGTGCTGGGGAGAAGCCAGGAATCACCTCCATGCTGTGTTCTCCCTTAGGACTGCAGCCAGGCTCTGTCTAACTCAGGAACAAAAACCTGACTTTAACATCTCCAACAGTCCAGAGCATACAAAAAATACATACTGAATTCTAGCTAAAACTGACCACTGCTCCCCCTTCCACCAGGAACGCAAACAGAAGGAGGGCTCCTGTGATGCAGAAATGCATAAAGCAATGCCCTCATTTCTTGTGTAATTCTGTGCCATTCTGTGTCAGCCCAACAGTGACCATGTGCTCCAACGGCAGGCACAGTCCTGGTGGAAACAGCGTAGGAGTTGGGAGAGCCCCACTGACACAGGCCCTGCGCCTCCTGCCCCGTGCAGGACAGGGGTTTCAGAACTGGTGGTTATACTTGGATCATCCTGTTCAAAAGCTGCTCGTGGATCTGCTGCTTACAACCCTGACTTATCCCTCCTGCTACCTAGTTACACTCCTGGCTTCCTCGGCGCCCTGCAGCAATCGGGTCCATCGAAACCTGCGCTGACATGCAGAGCGCAGTGTATCTTCCCACCAGTGGCTCCTGAAAGGGGATTCCCTGCTTGATCCTTTACACAAGTTTGGCCCCTTTTAAGTGCAAAGAGGAGAGAAACAAGAATACAAAGAAAAAGAAAAGCGTGGGAATGAGAACCAGTGTCCAGGGCAGGCGGCTCAGCCCTGGCATCCGAGCAGTTTCCTCTCCTTTCCCCATCATAACCAAGAGCATCACCGAGATAAATGACATGAGAAACCATTAGACTAGGTCCCTTGCAGTAGGGCTGTCGGCTAGCAAAGACAAAGCAGCAAATCAGAGTTTCCTTTTTGATATTATTACTTGAAGGTCAAAGATCCAAGAGCTGATTTCAGTGCTGGACCGAGCAGCTGTAACTGATCTGGCTCAACGGAAGAACATCCGCGTCATCTGGCTGCACGCTGAGTGCCTTCCCTCACCGTGCAGAGGTTTTCCTTGGTGCATCTACACTGCAGATGCAGTAACATCAAGACTAACAGTGTGCAAACCTGCTTGGGTCCAGATGTGCAGTATCACTGTGTATGCAACTCTGCCCCTCAGCGATGAGCCTTGTTAGGAAATATCTCTTAAAAATGCTTCCGAATGCAAGCTGGAGCATCCCAGCCCGCTAAGCCCTCACCTGAGATCTCTGCACTGGGGACTGCTGGGCACCGTGGGCAGACCCTGCGCAACCCAGCCCAGCGTAAACCTGCAGAGCAGGGCAGGGAGGAGGGACATCCTTTTGCCCGTGCGCCGCTGCAGCGCAGGATCTAATTACAATCTTTACTAAGAGAGAAACACATTAGGAGGAAAGACTAGCACAGGCTGTCTGATCTGGAAGGCTTCCATGTAAGGCAGGTAGGCAGGCAGGCAGCCCATTTGTGTGCTGTTTGGGGGCCCGGCTGGGCACTGTAGGCGAAGCATTCTACGATTTGCGCTGTTTTGGCTGGTGGCAGACTTAGCCAAGCACACAGCAGAAAGGATGCTGGTTCCCCATGCCAGGGAAATCAGGTTTGCCCACCAACTCAGTGGTGCAATACCTGCCTAAGAAGGGAGAAGGTGGCTCTGCTTTGCATGCAAAACTTGGGGAGTCCTCCAACACAAGCCCCGCAATCCCACGGTGCAGGAAGGCTCAGCCCTGCCTTGAGCCTTCACTGGCTGCATTTCTAATGCTTCTCCTTAACAGATTCCAACAGAGCCTGGCCGTGCCCCGCTCTGCAAACAGGTCTCCACAGGCACCGATTTGCTTCAGGCTGGGGTGGTCGCTGCTGCCGCAAGATGTGCTAATGGTGGGATGGAGACAGAGCCTATGTAAAAGGCTGTGCTGAGCGCCCTACGCTTGCCTGGCAGCTGAGGGGAGATGGCAGCCAGGCCACACCGAACTGCGGCTTTGGGGTGAGCGGCCCCACGTACCTGCTCCCGGCAGAGCCACGCTGCCTCCCGCACATGGTACTTGCAAGGGACAGGGAGCTGCCCTGAGCCAGCCGGGGGCAAGGCACCGCTCCGACATCCCTGCTTTCCCTGCACACAAGCAGCGCATCTCCGATACGCCAGCTCTGCCTCCTCACCGGGCTTTGGGAGGGAAATTCAGGCCAAGGTACCCAGGCTTGTCCTCAAAGTCAGCATGCATGGGGCGCTGCAGGAGAAATGCAAAGTCAAAGAGAAGTTAAAACTTCTGCAAGGATTTTCAGAGGGCTTTCGGAGTCCTTTCCATTCATTCATGTGACTGCAAAAGAGCTCCACTAGCATCAGCAGGGGAAACCTCAGGCTTCAGATTTTAAGATGCTCTTGTGCCTAACGGGGAATGAGTCACGTCCACCTTTCTACAGGACAAGACGCCTCCTTTCACCGCATCTCCAGCAAAGGCCTCCGAGCAGTCTCTCAAGAACAGGCAATAGCTTGGAGTGCCCACAGCTACACTCAGCAGGCTACAGCAGCACTCGGAGATTGCTCTGTCCTCTTCTCCGGCACAAAAGCCCAAAGAATAATGTATTTTAGACAGGGCATTTAAAGGAATGCCCACTCGCACTCTACCAAGTACTCTGTATGTCAAAAGCAAGCCCGTAAATTCCTGGCAGCAAAGTTCTGCGCGCTGCATCTTCCCTTTGGCGCCCATCGGATAAAAGCAAGAGCTGTCAGCCCTGAGCCTCTCACATGGACTCGCTTGTCCAAATTAAATTGAAAAAGAAATGAAATAAAAAAAACCTTCACACTTCCGAAAACGTTACCACGGTGCTCACCTCCACACCTATGGCATGCAGCCCAAGCCCTGCAGAATCCAACATCCCCCAAATATATCCTTTTTTAAGGACTGGTGATGAAAACAGTTGGCAGCGGCACTGCTGTGATGGCTAGCATGCAATCTTTGATCTAACGGCAAGCCTTCTTCTGAAAGGAAAAGCCAATTTTCAGTTCCCCAAACTTCCCAGATACATCATCAGATGAAACACATGGCGAAACACAGTTTGAGCCTGACATTCTTCTCATCTCCCTCAAACCGAGTCCTGCATTTAGCAACTAGCAATCCAAAATTTTACAGTATCATCTGGGTCACAGCAGGAACGTATTTGAGTTTCTTAGCACTTGAGAAGCCCATGTTTTACATACTGCATGTTGCGTGCACACTCAGCTGGAGAAAGGCATTTTTGGCCATATGGTCTCAGCTGAACCACCCATCGTCTAAGAAAATGCAAGTCCTTTAAAACTAAACACACAGATGCATAACTGGGGACCTTCCGAGGCAGGCTTTCTCCTAGAAACCGGTGTTTTGTTGAAAAAGTCAGGTTTCATGCAAAGATGAGAGCTTTCTAGCTGCCTGCAGCCATTCATTGCCAGGACCAGATAGCCCAAGGGCATCAGGGACCATCACCACAGCAGCATGCAGGACAGTGGAGCCAAGGTCTGCACAAAATAGGTGCCTGTCAACATATTGGAGGAAGCACAGGCTCTGCAGAGCACTTATCATACTGCTCCCTTCTGCCAGCAGCTAAAATAATGGGCTCCCCACTTCTGAACAGGCACCGTGATGCACGCAAGCCCCGTGGCACACACCTCCTGTTGCCCTACCGGCGTCTTGGCAAGAAACGATCACATGGAGCAGTCACCCTGGGCAGGGGAGGAAGAAAATTTCAGGTAGGAAACCTGAACACTTATCAGCTCCATGGCAAAACCACACTTCGGATCACGGACTGACTGCCTGCTCAGCTGGGAGTTTGACCTTGGACATGCAGAGCGGCACAGCTATTCGACCTGGTGCCCATGTAGCTAAGTCAAGGTTAAGCTTCCCTGTACGAGTGACCACATTGGCTAGGCAAAAGATTTAGTGTTGCACATAAGCTGTGCAATAGGGAGAATTGTTTGTAGGAGAGGGCAAGGTTTTCTCAAAAGCCACGTTAACTTGAGCATTGACCCCGTGGAGCAGTCAGGGATGCGGAGCAGCAGCATGGGAGAGGGAAGCTGTGGCCAGATGCGCTTGTATTTGCGCCAAAGCAGGTTAAGAAGTT